GTCCTGGCTCAGTGCTAAGGAATCATGGGAACTGTAGTTTATTGTGGGCAGTTAAAGTGAAATAATGCAGTCAAGTTGCATTATTTCTGGCAGCCTGTAAAGGCCCTAAATTGAGGCTGTCCTACTTCGGTCACATCATTAGAAAAGACAACGATGCTGGGGAAGGTGGAGGGACATAGAAAGAGAGAGGAGGACCACATGCCAGATGGATAGGCCTGAGCCTGCAGGACCTGAGCACAGAGGTATAGGATAGGAAAGCTTGGAGAAGTCTCATGCACAAGGTTACCATGAGTCGAGATCGACTGGAAAATATCTACGTAACAAGAACAATCCCCTCAACCAGCAGTGATGGCCCAAACAGAGGATCTATGCACACTACGGAGTTATGGTGCTATCGTTGGGTTCTTTCAAGTCCTTTCCGACTTATGCGACCCTAAGGCAAGTCTGGGGTTTTCTTGGCAAGATTTGTTCAGAGAGGAGTTGTCTTCCTCTGAGGCTGAGAGAGTGTGACGTGCCCAAGGTCACCCCGTGGGTTTCCATGGGGGAGCAGGGATTTAAAACCTGGTCTCCAGAGTCCAACACTCAAACCACAACATCATGCTAGCGGTATTGTTCCACTTTAATTACCATGGTTCTAGCCCAGTGGTTCCCAAACTTTGGTCCTCCAGATGTTTTGGACTTCAGCTCCCAGAATTCCTGACTATTGGCCAAGCTGGCTAAGGCTTCTGGGAGTTGAAGTCCAAAATGCCTAGACGACCAAAGTTTTGGCATCATTGTTGGCCTATAGAATCTTTGGATTTGTAGTTTGGTGAAGCTGTAGAGCACCCTGGCTGCGAATTCTAAATGTCCCTCCCTAAACAGCCCATCCCAAAACTCTGCTGGATGGAACCACGGCAGTTAAAGCGGAATGATACCACTATAAGTATGAAAGGACCCCCGGGAAGGAGAGGAGAGTGGTCCATTCTGAGATGCCAACACCCAGAACCCAAAGCAGCTTTTCCCCCTTCCCGAGGCCTTCTGATGTGTCAGGTCCAAAACATACTGGAGAAATCCAGTGTGAGACCACTTTAACTCAATGCTATGGAATTCTGGGAACTGTAGTTTTGTGGGACATTTAGCCTGTTCTATCAGAGAGCTGTGATGCCACAATAAACTACAATTCCAGGATTTCCTAGCACTGAGCTAGGGCAGTTAAAGCGGTTTCAAACTGGATTATTTGTGCAGTGTGTTTTGGAACTCAGACTACAATTCACATAACTCTTCCCCCCCTTGTCTGGGGCTGGTGGGGCTGGTAGTCCAACGAAGATGGAAGGAGCCGCCTCTTGGGGGAAGGCTGAAGACTGGACCGGGTTGGTTGCCAAGATCATTCCTTAGTCCTCCATCCCAAGAGGATAAGGAGCCCAGGGCAGAGGAACAGAAGCGGCCCCCATCTCCTCCAGGTTTAAAAGATCTCTGGGGCAAAGCTGGGGTAGATTGTTGGGGGCAATTAGTTTACACATTGTAAACCGCTTCGAGACTGAGTATGTAGCGGTGTGGAAATGTTAATGCTGAATGCTTTGATCTGCCAGGAAGCCGAGGGAGGTCAGGACTGTAGATGGCCTGGGCGAAGTGGTCTGTTTCAGTACTGCAATAATTTAATTCTATTTTAATGTACTATTTTTGTATACTTTTAATTGTACTCTTTTTTTTTAAATATTGTAAGCCGCCCTGAGTCCCAGTTTTTGGAGAAAGGGCTGGAAAATAATAATAATAACAACAACCAGATAGCTCTGCATGTTTGAAGAAGTGGAATCTATTATTATTATTATTATTATTATTATTATTATTATTATTATTATTGTTGCTATTGCTGCTGCTGCTGCTGCTGCTGCTACTACTACTACTACTACTCTCACTCTCATTCATTCTCAGATTCGGCTTGGACTTAAATGCAGCAACTTTTCCTTTCTCTCCCCCCCCCTCGCCCTCCTTTTCCTTTGTTCTCTTCGTTCAGCTTTGCCCAGGCCTCGGTGGGGATGATGAATGAGGTCGTGAAGTACCCTTCGGCAGACAGATGATCTCCATTCAAAGAAACCAGCTCCTTTCCGCGTCATTTTCGCTGCCCCAGGCTCGGAAAAGACTCCCAGCCAGGTTGCAAGCCCCTCTTCCCTTCCCCACCTTCCCCATAGGCCACTGGTCATTTCACTTGAGGCAGGGAATTGTGTGCCTTGGCAGAGCGATCCTAAACCTAATTTTTTTTTTCTCCTGCGCTCTCAGCAATGCTGAGAACATTGCTGAAGAGCATCCAATCCACCCCTTGAGCCTCTTGGAAGATTTCAGCATTTTCTCTCTTCCCCTCCTCAGATAGACAGGATTTTCCTGCATGCAAACTTTGCTTTCTCCCCTCATTCAAACATCCCATTTGCTCCTATTGAATCACAGGGCAAGGAATACCTTTGAACATTGATAAACAAACCCTGTGATTTAGGTCACTTCCTTTAGGAAGTTTCTTTCCCTCAAAAGAGATTCTCCTGCTTCTGCCTGGTCCCCCATCTTCCTCCTCTCTCAACTTTCTTGGGAAAGACAACTTCAAAAACCCACCAAACGGTGATACTTTTATTGGGACAACCAATAAAATGCACAATATACATGTTGAAATATCCATTCGCTGAGTTAGGATGGAGCATCTATGCTTATGTAGATTCAAGCCATTAGTAAACTTTTGTTTAAACTGCAAGCTAC